GTATAGTATTTTCCAAAAGCACAAAAATAATGAAGTTAAATCCCATAAAAGAGAAGAAAAAATGTTGATTTTTAAGAAAATCGGATTTTTGAAATTTTTCGAATTTTTGATAATTTTAGATTTTTTACCAAAGAGTCGAGACAATTTAATATGTAAAGTATTTTCCAAAAGCACAAAAATAATGAAGCTAAATCCCATAAAAGAGAAGAAAAAATGTTGAATTTTAAGAAAATCGGATTTTTGAATTTTTTCGAATTTTTGATAATTTTAGATTTTTTACTAAAGAGTCGAACTATTAAATAAGTAAAGTATTTTCTAAAAGCACAAAAATAATGAAGCTAAATCCCATTAAGGAGAGGAAAAAATGTTAAATTTTAAGAAAAACGGATTTTTGAAATTTTTCGAATTTTTGATAATTTTAGATTTTTTACCAAAGAGTCGAGAGTATTAAATAAGTAAAGTATTTTCGAAAAGCACAAAAATAATGAAGCTAAATCCTATAAAAGAGAGGAAAAAATGTTGAATTTTAAGAAAATCAAATTTTTGAATTTTTTCGAATTTTCGATAATTTTAGATTTTTTACAGATTTTTTACCGAAGAGTCGAGACAATTTAATAAGAAGAGTATTTTCCAAAAGCACAAAAATAATGAAGCTAAATCCCATAAAAGGGAAGAAAAAATGTTGAAATTTAAGAAAATCAAATTTTTGAATTTTTTCGAATTTTTGATAATTTTAGATTTTTTACCAAAGAGTCGAGACAATTTAATAAGTAAAGTATTTTCCAAAAGCACAAAAATAATGAAGCTAAATCCTATAAAAGAGAGGAAAAAATGTTAAATTTTAAGAAATTCGGATTTTTGAATTTTTGATAATTTTCGATAATTTTACATTTTTTACCAAAGAGTCGAGACAATTTAATAAGTAAAGTATTTTCCGAAAGCACAAAAATAATGAAGCTAAATCCCATAAAAGAGAAGAAAAAATGTTGAATTTTAAGAAAATCGGATTTTTGAATTTTTGATAATTTTCGATAATTTTACATTTTTTACCAAAGAGTCGAGACAATTTAATAAGTAAAGTATTTTACAAAAGCACAAAAATAATGAAGCTAAATCCCATAAAAGAGAAGAAAAAATGTTGAATTTTAAGAAAATCGGATTTTTGAATTTTTGATAATTTTCGATAATTTTACATTTTTTACCAAAGAGTCGAGACAATTTAATAAGTAAAGTATTTTACAAAAGCACAAAAATAATGAAGCTAAATCCCATAAAAGGGAAGAAAAAATTTAGAAATTTAAGAAAATCAAATTTTTGAATTTTTTCGAATTTTTGATAATGTTAGATTTTTTACCAAAGAGTCGAGACAATTTAATAAGTAAAGTATTTTACAAAAGCACAAAAATAATGAAGCTAAATCCCATAAAAGGGAAGAAAAAATTTAGAAATTTAAAAAAATCAAATTTTTGAATTTTTTCGAATTTTTGATAATTTTAGATTTTTTACCAAAGAGTCGAGACAATTTAATAAGTACAGTATTTCCCAAAAGCACAAAAATAATGAAGCTAAATCCCATAAAAGAGAAGAAAAAATGTTGAATTTTAAGAACAACGGATTTTTGAAATTTTTCGAATTTTTGATAATTTTAGATTTTTTACCAAAGAGTCGAGACTATTAAATAAGTAAAGTATTTTCCAAAAGCACAAAAATTATGAAGCTAAATCCCATTAAGGAGAGGAAAAAATGTTAAATTTGAAGAAAAACGGATTTTTGAAATTTTTCGAATTTTTGATAATTTTAGATTTTTTACCAAAGAGTCGAGACAATTTAATAAGTAAAGTATTTTCCGAAAGCACAAAAATAATGAAGCTAAATCTTATAAAAGGGAAGAAAAAATGTTGAAATTTAAGAAAATTGGATTTTTGAATTTTTTCGAATTTTTGATAATTTTAGATTTTTTACCAAAGAGTCGAGACAATTTAATAAGTAAAGTATTTTCCAAAAGCACAAAAATAATGAAGCTAAATCCTATAAAAGAGAGGAAAAAATGTTGAATTTTAAGAAATTCGGTTTTTTGAATTTTTGATAATTTTCGATAATTTTAGATTTTTTACCAAAGAGTCGAGAGTATTAAATAAGTAAAGGATTTTCCAAAAGCACAAAAATAATGAAGCTAAATCCCATAAAAGAGAAGAAAAAATGTTGAATTTTAAGAAAATCGGATTTTTGAATTTTTTCGAATTTTTGATAATTTTAGATTTTTTACTAAAGAGTCGAACTATTAAATAAGTAAAGTATTTTCCAAAAGCACAAAAATAATGAAGCTAAATCCCATTAAGGAGAGGAAAAAATGTTAAATTTGAAGAAAAACGGATTTTTGAAATTTTTCGAATTTTTGATAATTTTAGATTTTTTACCAAAGAGTCGAGAGTATTAAATAAGTAAAGTATTTTGGAAAAGCACAAAAATAATGAAGCTAAATCCTATAAAAGAGAGGAAAAAATGTTGAATTTTAAGAAAATCAAATTTTTGAATTTTTTCGAATTTTTGATAATTTTAGATTTTTTACAGATTTTTTACCGAAGAGTCGAGACAATTTAATAAGAAAAGTATTTTCCAAAAGCACAAAAATAATGAAGCTAAATCCCATAAAAGGGAAGAAAAAATGTTGAAATTTAAGAAAATCAAATTTTTGAATTTTTTCGAATTTTTGATAATTTTAGATTTTTTACCAAAGAGTCGAGACAATTTAATAAGTAAAGTATTTTCCAAAAGCACAAAAATAATGAAGCTAAATCCTATAAAAGAGAGGAAAAAATGTTGAATTTTAAGAAATTCGGATTTTTGAATTTTTTCGAATTTTTGATAATTTTAGATTTTTTACCAAAGAGGCGAGACAATTTCATAAGTAAAGTATTTTCCGAAAGCACAAAAATAATGAAGTTAAATCCTATAAAAGAGAGGAAAAAATGTTGAATTTTAAGAAAAACGGATTTTTGAAATTTTTCGTATTTTTGATAATTTTAGATTTTTTACCAAAGAGTCGAGACTATTAAATAAGTAAAGTATTTTACAAAAGCACAAAAATAATGAAGCTAAATCCCATAAAAGAGAAGAAAAAATGTTGATTTTTAAGAAAATCGGATTTTTGAATTTTTTCGAATTTTTGATAATTTTAGATTTTTTACCAAAGAGTTGAGAGTATTAAATAAGTAAAGTATTTTCTAAAAGCACAAAAATAATAAAGCTAAATCCTATAAAAGAGAGGAAAAAATGTTGAATTTTAAGAAATTCGGATTTTTGAATTTTTGATAATTTTAGAATTTTTACCAAAGGAGGGAGACTATTAAATAAGTAAAGTGTTTTTAAAGAGCCCAAAAATATTGAAATTAGATTTAAAATTCCACTGGAATTTCGTAAAAATTTGACCTGGAAATCATCGAAAAGGTATGGAATTTTAAATTCGGATTTCTGTAGGAATCCTGAAAAGGAAGTTCTATTTTGAATTTCTAAAATTTAATGTCAAATTAAATGCATTAGAAATGAATTACAAGTGAATCCGATAAATTTTGTTAAAATGCTATTACTGCTGTTAAACTTTCTTGTTGTACGAAGAAAATTGAATATCGCAAAAATTGTTACATATTTTATACTTTTATTTTCAAAATAATTTAAAAATTAAAAATAATTTTGATAACGAAACTTTTAATTATTCTAAAAATTAAAAAATAATTATTCATTTAGCTTTTTAAACAAAGAATTCCGTTTCTTTCGAATCTATCATAACTGCAAAATATTAAATTAATTGAAAATAATAAAGTTAAACAACTTTTAATTCTAATTTCTTTGGAAAACAAAAAATCTGTAGTAAAAATACTAATTATAACTTGCATTAATTATTTAATTACAAGATGTTATATAATATAATGAAGCATCAAATTAAAAAATATTCTAAATTCGTTTTTAGAAACAACGAAAAAAAATGCCAGGTGAATTTTAGGCGTACCATAGCCCCAAAATTTTAATTCCATACATTGGTTGTTTAATTGAATTTTTAACTTTATAATTATTATTTACTCGGCAGGTATGTGTCCATAATTTAATGACAACATTATTTTAATATTGGGAATAGATATTTGATGTAATATATTTTTAATTGAAAAAATTGACAATATATTTTCATTGATTAATTGAATATTCTATGAATCACGTATTAATTTAAAACATAAAAAAATGTTGAAAGTTTATAAAATTAACATTATATTTAACAATATTTTTATGTAATAAAAATTATAAGAAATAAAAATTGTATTAAATTACTATTTTGTAAAATATACTTTGATAATTTAAATTTATGTTGTAGTCTTTAATAATATAGTAATTATTTCTAATAATAATTATATCTGTCAAAAATTATGAAAAATAAATATTATATTTTTAATAATTACAGTATTTAGAGTTTTGCAAGTTAAAAAATTTTTAAAAAGTTAAAAAACTAAATATTCTGTAATTAAGCAATTTATGAAAATAAAATTCAATTGAATGTTATATCAAATAACTTTTTTTAATAATATTGAAGTAATGTTAACATTAAATTATATACATTAAATTAAATTATAAAAAAGTATTTACCTTCAGAATGAATGATAGTTGAAAAGTTAAAAATTGAATTAAACGCATAATAATATAAAACATAACCATTGAAACACATCAAAACACATTAAAAAGTTTGACATTAAAAAATATAAAAAATGCCAATACTTAACCCACAAAATTTAATTTTCAAAACAAACAAATGAATGTAGATAATTTGCTAACGGAAAGGAAACTTACGATTATTATAATGTATTAATAATTAATAATAGTTAAAAATTAATAATAATGTTCCAACAATTTTTAAAAATAACTATTTCTGCACATATCTTTATAAGAAATACAACCGTATTCGAAATAGAATAAAAATAAAATAGGAAGGAATTAAAAACAAAATATATTCAAACCTGAAATTCTTTTCCTCTTGGTGTTAATTGAATTATTCTTATTCGAATCTTCCAAAGTATTTTTAATATATCCATCAGTGTTTGAATTTTCAATTTGAGTACTGTCTTCATTTTTCTCGTCGTCAGAATGTGAAGAAAAATCAGAAGAATTGCTAATCGGCTTATCACTATTATTTCTCGTAAAACTTACATCACAATCGGCATCTTTATTCACTGTTACTTTCTTCAAAATAGCACTTTTAATTTTCGTATAATGAGCATAATTCTTGAAACGTGAATACTTTCCTAATTCATTGTTAAGCAATTTATTATATTCTATACTTTTCCTGTCATCGAGTGCGTGAGATAAAGAATTATTTATCATACGATCCGAGACACAGTTTTTAACTATCTTCCAGGATATTTTTTTATTATTTACAGAATTTCCTGGCATTTTTCCACATCTAATTTGCTGCAAATATGAATCTTTTTATACGTGCAAAACATAAGTAAATAGTTTGCAAACAAAAACAAGACTCGTGTCGCATTGCACGTGAAAGAAAAAAAAAGTGAGGTTATGAATATCGGCCGCCGGTGTATTTGTAATTTCAAATTTAACCGCCAGATGGCTCATGGCGGGAAATTCAAATTCGTTCAAACGATCAACAAAAGTTTTTTTTTTTGTTAAGATCGTATTCGATCAACAAAACTTTTTGTATTAATATGCACAGTTCTACATTATTGCGATTGTCATCAAAGATTCTTTTATTATTGCGTTTATATTAGAAAAATGTGACTAATACCAGAATACGTTGTGCGTAAGTCTATACCTATAAGAAATAAAAGACAGAAAATTGCGCATGGAATTAATATTCACGTTGACATGCAAATTATCTGCGAATTTGCAATGCAAATTTTCCATCCAGGGGGACATTTTGTTATTTGTCATAATAAGTTTGCTGTAAATTTGACGTACAAACTTGATGAAAAATGTTGTGCCAATACTTGAAATAAAATTATCAAATAGAAATTATTGTCAATAATTATTTCCGCTCCTCTTTTTTAGCATAACCTCTAAAAGTTTTAGTTGTATTTGTTGCATTTAATTAAAATCAACAGGACTTTAGCATCCGGGAAGTGACCCAGGTGACCTGAACAGTCAGTAGTGTCAAGTGTAGCCTAGCTGGTGGCTCTCTTTCGGCAAATTAAATGACAAGAGAGGCTGCGTTGGCCATGAGGAGATCAATTTTCATTGACGAAGAAACTGGAGAGTGTTTTGACATTAATGACGATCATCTGCATGTGTCAAACAATGTTGAGACAGGAGAGCCTGAGACCAACGTTGACTTTAGACGAATACGTCGAAAAGTTCCCTTTCAAGTAAATTTTCCTCTTATTTTTATTCTGTTTTTCTTAAGTTAATTATTTTTTCTATTTATTTCTTATTCATTAAAATTAAGTTCTCGAAAATTTAAGAAATAAGAGAAATTCCGGTAACTTTATTGTTTCGAAGAATTTAACTTTTAATTGTTTACCATTTTTATACCTGTAAGTATATATTTGAGGCGCAATTTTAGTTCCTTTTTCAACTACTAGTTTTTTATATTGTGAATTATAAATATCTCATCCCAATAATAACTTCAATTCTAAGTTTTTGCAAAATTCAATTATTTTCAATCAATTTTATTAACTTTTTTCTTCAAAAAATATGATTGCTTTTGAAAATATGGTAATATGATATTTTTTGAATAAAAAATTCATTTCAATAATACAAACTTTATTATTTAAAAAAATTATAATTGTAATTCCTCGAAAATTCAATTATTTTCCTGATTTTTTAACTAAACCTTTTCGAAATTCAATTATTTCTAAAAATTCCTCCTATAATGCTTCTAATATTCAATTATTATCTACAATTTTAAATTGTTTATTTTTAAATTTAAAATTTTTTATTAAAAATAATTGAAATTCAAATTCATGAAACAAAAAAACTAAATTAAATTCTGAAAATTTTTAAAAAGTTAAATAAAACAAATTTTAATTTTTCAGATTCCTAAAGACATTCAAAAATCGATTTCAAAGAAAAAATATGATAAATTCAAAGACATTGATAGCATTCCGGACGGTGAAACTTTCTGCAGGATAAATCCTGTTTGCCTCTTTTTACCAGCAATAATATACTTCAGATGGTTTGTTGCCGTACTCTTTTTGATGGAAGTTATTCTTCATGTTTATTCACATCGCAAAAACAAAAGTCTCAAGGACTCCAACGTTTACTATCAATCTCCATTTCATGGAATCTCGTCAGAATTTTGCGCTCTCTGTCAAAGTGAAACTTGTATGAATCGAGTTGATAAAATGCAACAAGCAAGAATGCATCGATTTTTAAAGCAATGCAATTATATGAAAAGGGTTGTCACGTGATCGAAAAAAAAAGATTTCTACTTTTTTTTTTAATTGACAAATTAAAAGATTTCGTAAAAAGATAAAATTTAGCTAAATTGGAAATTCTCAAAAAATTTAGAAATTAAAATTAAAAAAAACTATTTTTCTAATATTTTTTACGAGGTCTTTTAATTTTCTCCAACGCACAAAGTTTAAAAATTAACAAAGCATTGTGATATTTTACCTCATTTTATATTATCTTGAAAATATTAGAACATCGCTTTATTTTTTCGGTATGGACGCCAAGGAACACACAAATTAACTACTTAATTTAACTAAAGGCGCTTAAACTTACAATTATTGTAAATTATCACAATTATTCTATAAGAAGTTTAGTCACGATTAAAAACAATCATTAAATGGACTAGAAACGAATAAAAGCCCAACTTTCGTCGATTTTCGTTTCGAATATTTTCAGAATACAATGAACATTACAACCACAAACCAAATTAATATTTTGTTACTTTTCATATTTCAGTGTAAATAAATGTAATATTATTAAAATCTGTTTCTCCACGTAAAATTAATAACATTTAAAATAATTTCTTTTTTCTTCATTAAAAATATGAAATGTTAAAATTGAAAAATTTAGATATTTTTTTAGGTTTCATATTAAATTAATATGAGTTCACTCTCTATATTTTTCTATGTCTTCTGCAACTATAAAATTATGAAACACTGAGAAAAAACTGGTAAAAATAGTTTTCTAAGAAACAAAAAATTAAAAATAGAGAGAATACCGAAAACTAGCTTCCCACGTGCATTGCAAGAATTTCTTGAACTGCTAATTGGCAAATCAAATTAAAATCACAATTTAAGTGCGATCGCCAAAATCTACAACGTCCCCAAGTTACAGCTGGATAATTTGGACTTTGTATCCCGTGAAAGATTCTTGCTATGGCTCTCGCCGAGAAATTTGTATCACGATAGCTGGAAATCAAGATTCGTATGTCGTTTATCACTTCCGTCTCGTTGGACAATTTCGTCTGGAAAAAATTAAAAATTACATCAATTGAGTATTATCATTAGATACATTAATGCAAATTGTTTGAAAATAATAATAATAATAATAATAATAATAATAATAATAATAATAATAATAAAAGATAAATACCTTAGGATTCACGTCAATATGTTCTAAAGAAGAATCAGATTTAAAATAAGATCGTATAATTTCCTTAAGATCTTCTGACTTCTTTTGAATTTCTTCATCGAGTTGAAGGCACTTTTTGATTGATGGAACGCTATATTTTTGCACAGCCGTATGAATTGCTTCAATTTGCTTAAGACCCATAGTTTCCTGAGAACTGGTTCTCTCAACGAGCGCGTTGAGCGCTGTATCAAGTTCCTCCTCAGTCAGATCTCCCGGTGTTCTAACTCTAAGACCCAGAGTAGAGTATCTTACAGATATCGACGAACGTTTCGATTTTCCATCAACTAAACAAAATTTTCTTATTTAATATAATATTTCATTTAAATAAGTGCTCAATAATAAATAATTTAATATTTGTCATTTAGAAAAGCTTATGACAGATTTGAAATTTACAATCTTGACAACCCTCAAGTAACGAATACCCAAAAAGAAATATATTATTAGAGAATCAAATTATTAAAAATCACCTGTTGTCCATTCCAAATTTTTCAAATGATTCTTGACAATTCCACTGTCCCATCCAATTGTCGCGGCTACATCGATAACAGGAAATTCGATAAATCCACTGTTCTCATGATTCTTTCCTTTCTTCATATCTTGAGCTATTGCCATTGCAAGAGGTGGTGACTGAAAAATACAAGTAATGTTAATATGATTTTCAAATAATAAACTAAATTAGAATCAATAAAAAGAAAATAAATTTAAAATAATATAATAGTGAATTCAGACCTCGCGCTCGATAATTATATTTAAAAAAGTAGAAAAAAGTAGATTTTAAGATTGAAAAAAGTAGTAAATAGTAGCTATCAAAAAATTAAACTTGACGACCCAAAAAACTCGTTTTAAACACTTCACAAAACTGCCAAAAATTCCATTCTAAATTTTATATTCCTGACTTTTTCCTAATTTTCATAAAAAATATTTACTCCTTTCTTATCCTGGTAATAAATTCAATAACTGCAACGAATTTTATTATTCTGCAAAGAATTTTAAATATTTATAAAAATAATTTAATTCTTGTGAAGAATTATATAATTAATTTTTTTAAATAATTGATTTCTATCGACTAATTTTATGCAAATTCTAATTTAAATAATTGAATTCCAGAAAAATTTTAATTAATCATGAAAAGAATTGATTTCTTACAAAGATTTTTAGAAAATTGTTTTTAAATATAATTCAATTCTGTTTGGAAATTTTATGAAAATAGTAAATATTAAAAATCATTAAATTGCGCAAAGATTTTAAAAATAATTAATTTTAACGAAGAATTCTATTAAAATTTTTGACAATAATTTAATGTCTGTGTGGTATTTTATTACATTTTTTTGAAAATAATTTAATTCCTGAAACGTATTTTATTATTTATAAAAAAAATTGAATTCTTGTCAAAGATTTTATTACAATGTTTGTAAATAATTGAATTTCCAAAAAAGAATTTTATTATTTTTAAAAATAATTCAATTCTTGTGATGAATATTGTTATTTTCGAAAACAATTGAATTTCGCAAAGAATTTTATTAAAATGTCTCAAAATAATTGAATTTTCGTGAATAATTTTGTTATTTATCGACAGAATTGAATTCTTAGGAAGAATTTCATTAAAATCTAAAAGAATAATTGAATTATTTCAAAAAAATTTAATTAAAATTCTATAAAATAATTGTTTTCTTTCGAACAATTGTATAAAAATATTTGAAAATAATTAAATTCCTGTGAAAAATTCTAATAATTTAAAAGAAAATTGAATTCTTCCAAAGAATTAAAACAAAACATTTTTTTAGGAATTGAAATTAAATTTTTGAACTATTCTTGTAAAATTGTATTAAAAATAAGAAATTAAAAATAATTGAATTATTGCTGAGAATTTTATTAAAATTTCCAAAAATAATTGAATTCCTGAGAAGAATTTCATTATTTACGAAAATAATTCAATTCCTGTGAAAAATTCTAATATTTTTGTAAATAAATTAATTATTCCAAAGAATTTAGAAAAACATTTTTTTTATAATTGATTCTTTCTAGGAATTGAAATTAAATTTTTAATAAAAAATACAATTTTTAACAATTCCAATGAATTTTGTTATTTATCAAAATAATTGAATAGTTGTTAAGAATTTAATTAAAATTTTTAAAAATAATTGACTTTCTGAGAAAAATTTCATTATTTATGAAAATAATTGAATAGTTGCTAAGAATTTTATTAAAATTTTCAAAAATAATTCATTTTCTGAGAAGAATTTTGTTATTTTTGAAAATAATTGTATTCTTTATAATAATTTTATAAACACTGTTTTAAATAATTAATTTTTTTCAAAATATAATAAATATTATGAAAATTTCATTTTAAATAACTGAATTCTTGAGGAAAAATATATTTGTGAAAATAATTGAATTTTTAAAATAATTAATTTAAAATAGTATTAAAAATAATTGAAATTCTTCGATGAGTTTTATTATTTATGAAAATAATTGAATTCTTGCTTAGAATTTTATCAAGAACGTTTTAGAAAATTGAATTTACATGAAAAAAGTAATTAAATTATTGTGAAGAATTGCATAAAGATTCTGATTGTTAAGAAAAAACTTACAGTTTGTGCAGCGAATTTCAAATCGTTGGTACCTCCGTAACTCGAAACTCGAGCGGTGCAGTAAGCCGAGGATAAGACTGTAATAAATCTTTTCGGATGGAGTTCCAAGTAGCACAAAAGAGTAGAAATTGTTTCTTCGGTGATGTCGAGCGCTTGAACCGTTTCATCAATTGGAATCGCGACTTCGTGTCCTGGACATCGTAGACCATTTTCCCGGGCGTTCTTCGCTACACAGGAACATGGGACGAAAATTTTCTGAAGCAAAAGTCTTATCGTTCGTCTGTCTACTCCATTTGAAAAGATGTGTCGTCGCAGTTCCCATTTATCAACATCATTCTGTAATTTGGCAAAAATATCAATTAATTTTGCATTGTTTTTAACGCCCTTAATTAATAAGATCGTTAAAAGATTAATTTTAGATGAATTCAAGTAATTTTTACCCCGGGGTCAATAAAGAGATGACAGTGAGCAGGAAGTCCGTCTCGTCCAGCTCTTCCTATTTCTTGAACGTAATTCTCGAAACTCGCCGGCATGTTGAAATGAATTACTGATCGAATGTTCGATTTGTTTATTCCCATTCCAAAGGCCACGGTGGCGACGACTATTCGAGTTTCCCCGCTCATAAAGGACTTTTGCACTATTTTCCTACGGTAAGCAGACAATCCTGCGTGATATGCTTCTGCAATTTTTGACACTTTCACATTGCCACTCTCTCGATTTCCGTGGACCTAAGAAAACAAATGTAATTAATTAATTTTTGTTCGTGTGATTAAAAACTTGAGATGTAAAACTAAAGTGAAATTTACCTGAAGTGAAACTCGGATAAGTCCAGCGATTCTTACACATTCCTCGCGCCTCGTGCAGTAAACAATGATCGAGTCGCATTTCTCAAATCGTTCACTCTTCAAAAGATCTATAAGCGCCACATTTCTATTCTCGTCTCTGGAAATAGTGAGAATTAAATTCGACGGCATTGGAACATCGCTGATAATTCCTTCCAGTTTGTCCTGAATATTTAAATGATTCACAATACTCTCGGCCGTTGAATTCGTCGCAGTCGCAGTTAGACCGAGAATTGTTTTCACTCCCAATTTTTCCTTCAGGACGCGAGACACCATGAGATACGAGGGTCTGAAATTGTGCGACCACTGAGAGATACAATGGGCCTCGTCGATGCAGGCGAAGGCAATTGGTGGCAACTGTCTAAAAAGGGCACCGAATCCAGTTGACTTTTCGCCAGCGACCACTGCTTCCGGAGAGACAAGGAGAATACTCAACTTTCCATTCCTCACCGAATCCATGACCTTCCCGCGAACCTTCTCCGACTGATTTGTGTGCAAGCACGCCGCCGACAGGAAAGATGGAATTCCCGTCACCTGGTCATCCATCAAGGACACAAGGGGCGAAATGACTAAGGTTATGCAATTGGACTTCTTTGCATAGATGTAGGCCGGAAGTTGGTAGCAAAGTGACTTTCCCGATCCTGTCGACAGTGTCAAGAGGGTCGATTGTCCGGAGAGAATTCTCATCACGGCTTTTTCTTGCCCCGGACGGAACGAGTCATGACCAAAGTCCTTCAATGCTTTAAAAACTTCATCTGGTGTTTCTGGAAAAAAAATCACGAGAATCGTTAATGAAAATAATTTTCCCTTCATAACAGAAAAAATAATAATTTAATTCATCTAATGCAAAAAAAGTTATTAAAATTATGATACTTACTTATGAGAGAATTGTCTGGTCCAAGAGGATAAACTGGTTTCACTTGACAAATTTCAGGTGGCAAAAGTTTTTCTATCAACTCCTTTGGAATTCTGCATCCAGTTTGAATTTGCTGTGAATAATAATAATAATCCTTGAATAGTAATAAAAAAAAATCAATTTTACTTTTCCTGATTTCATTGATAATGATTTTTTCAAAGCAAAAAGAAAAATAAAAAAAAAAAATAAATTTTCTTACTAAAAATTATTTTCACAATGTTAAAAAAGACTTAATTTCGTAGTTCTGAGTATAAGATTATTTAATAATTAACCTTTTTGGATTTGAAAATATAAAAGACTGAAATTACCTCTTCTTCAGGTGCTTCGTCTTCCCAATCTGAAAACTCGAGTTCCTCATCAACTTCCGTGCTGCCTTCAACTGTTTTAGGCAAAGTTTTCGGAAGTCGATCCATTCTCGAAGAGTGAGCGATAAGAGCGTTTCTTCTCGCCATTTCCTCAGCCTCCTCCAATGTTGGAAACTCTGATTTATCATTAACTTGTTCTAGTGGAAGCAGTTCCTCGCCCTTACGATTTTTGCACTGCCTTGCAAAATGGCCCATTTCACCACACAGATGACAAGCGCCTCCTGTTTTCTCGGCGAAATCCGCCGCGTCCAAACTCGCAGCACTCGAGGACAAATCCTTTTTCCTCTGCTTCCACTGACCCTTTTTGAATTTCGAAAAATTGAATGATTTCTTCCCCCGGACAAAGACTTTCTTCTTCAAATTCACTCTCACGTAATTATCATTTAATTCCCCTCGCTTCATCTTCTGTTCCAGTTTGTCCTTGGCTGTTAACTTATTCCCAAGTTTCGATTCATTCGAACCGGTGTCATTTTCCTTTTCATTCTTTCCTGCCAGAACTTTGGAGAAATCGGTGATTAAATCTCCGGTGCCGTAGCCTTTCATTGGTAAACGTGGAACTACATCCAGGGATTCTATGCCAAAAGTGACATCATTCTCGTCGACGACGACAGTTTCTTGGTCGACATTCTCCTTTTGTTTCGTCGATTTTCTTGTTGCTCGAGTTTTCGTCGTTGGTTCGTTAGGGACGCTCTTCTTCGCCCTCGGGACTTTTGTGGTTCTTTTTGGCATTTTCTTCTTCGACTCTTGCGAATACTCCGGATCGCTGTCCTCGTCTGATTCTATCATTTTCCTACGACCCTTTCGTTTGGTGTGAGTACGTTTAGTTTTTGGTAATTCTTCAGTCTCTTTTTTCTCAATTCTTTCAGTCGGTGTTTCCTCGATTAAATTCTCGTGACGACTTACTATTTCCATTTTCGAATTTTCGGCTTCACTCTCTCGAGGTGTACAAGGTGTATAATCAAGGAGACTTTGAGAAGACTTCGAGGGTTGCTCGAAAAAGCAAGGTCGTTTCGCTAAATTCTCAATATCACAGGAGAATTTGTTGAAATTTCGAATTCGTTTGCTACGTCGCTCCTCCTCGGAATCGCTGTTGAGTACAAAGTCTTCGTCGGAATCGTGTGTCGATTGAGTGTCGACATTCGTCGAATGACTCTGAACGGATTCCTTCAGCGAGTGAATACTGCTCTCCATTGATTCGACTCCCGAGTCACTCACTCCGGACAGTCTTCGTGGTTCAATTGGCGACACTTCGGGAGTTTGAGTTTGATTTTTCATTCCACATCTCTCCAGCCAGCCTTGATTAATTGTCCTGCTCGTGAGAGTGCGGCCCTCGATCAACTGCTGAATTGTATTCAAAGACTGAGTCGAAATTTTCGTTTCCTCGTGAATAATTTTCATTTTCTCGCCGAGTAGTGCTTCCGTTATTTCCGGCGTGTCAAATCCGTCATTCGTTGATTCCACTGGCTTACTCAGTAAATTATCCTCGATTTTATCCTTCGATTTTATCCTCGACATCGACAGGGACTTTCGGGGATTTTTCTTCGAGAAACTGGAACTTTTGAACATTTTTTGCGACAGCTGAAACGAGGGGTATTTTCCGATTGAAAGACCCTTGCCACGTTTGGGAAGATTTTTATTCGAAAGATGATCACCCCAGACACCTTTGACATTTGTATTGTCTGGAGGAGATTCGGTTATTGTCTTTTCCGCTAGGCAAATTTCGGAGAAAGTTGTGTCCGTAACGGAAGTTTCTAAAACAGAATTTTCCACCTCTTGAGTTGAAGAATTTAGAGTCAGATTTGTTATGTCATTGACGACTTCTTTTGTGTTTGGCGAACTGAAAGCTGAAGTCATTGAAGTGTTTGATTCCTCATCGAATGTGATGTCGGTCAGTGTTTCGTCTAGAGCTTGGGTCTTTAAATTCCAATAAGTTTTGTATGAATGTCGAATCTTGATGTCCGCTTCCCTAATATCGTTCTAAAAATAAAAACACTTATTTTAAATTCTTATAATTAATTACATCAGTTTAAAAAAGTTTTAATTAAAAAACAAAAACTTCGACAATCAGAGTTCACGCAAAAATTTTATTTTGTTTTTTCCTGATTTCAAGGCAGAATTTTAATTTTTTCTGATCTCTTAAAAAATTTGAAAGAGAGTTCAATCAAAAAAAAAAAAAATTTTTTAGAAGCAAATTAAAAATTCTAATGAGTGTTTACCTTGATTTAAAAAAAAATAATTTCTGTAGTTAACTTTCTTCAGTTATCTTCAAAAATTTTAATACATTTTTTAAAAATTCAATTATTTTACAATTTTTAATAGAGAAAAAATCTATTATTTCAGAAATTTTTAATTACAAGTTTATAAAAATTCAATTACCTCCAAAAAATTAAATCGAAATCTTTGAAAAATCTAATTTCTCAGAAATTTAAATAAAACTTTTTGAAACTACAATTTTTTTAAAATGAAATTCAGATCTTTTTGAAATTAAACAATAATAATTTTAATTGTATTTTATTTTTTGTGAAATTCAATTATTTACAAATTATTAAATTGAAATTCATTGAAAAATTCGATATTCTTTTTGAATATCTCTAAAAAAATTTTTTAACAAATTTAATTATTTTGAATTCAATTCATTTTAGAAAATTTCTATTTATTTGATATTTCTTTAACAAAATTTCCATTAAATTTAATAATTCATTAATACATTTTGTTAAAAATTCAAGTCACTTAAAAAATTTGAATTAAAATTTCTTATAAACATTGAAAATAATAAATTAATCATTAATTTTTCCACGACACTAAAGATTTTCAAAAATTTTAGTTTATAAGCTTCTGAAATTAAACTAATTATGAAAATTTAACTATAATCCTTTTTCAGTTAATTATAAATTATAATTTTAATAATTTGAAAAAATTTATTCTCAAATTTAATTATTTACAATAAAAAAAGGATAAATTTTAAGAATCAATTAAATAATTTTAATAGAATTTCAGAAAATGACAATTACTTCAACAAATTTCAATAATTCAATAATTGAAAAACCTTAAATATATTAAAAAACAAATTTTTCAGAATTTCTGTAAAAAATGTTATTTTTGAAAAGAATTAAATTATTCATAAGAAATGTTAAATGATTTTTTAAAATAATTTAATTTCTGAGAAGGATTTTATTATTTACAAAAATAATTGGATTTTCTGTATAAAAATTTTGTTATTTTTGAAAATAATTGAATATTTCATAAAAATTTTATTAAAACTTTTAAAAATAATTGAATTTCTGTAAAAAATGTTATTTTTGAAAAAAATTAAATTGTTCATAAGAAATGTTAAATAATTTGTTTAAATAATTGAATTTCTGATAAGGATTTTATTATTTATAAAAATAATTGAATTCTTGCAACGAATTTTATTAAAATTTTTAAAAATAATTGAATTTCTGTAAAAACTTTTGTTATTTTTGAAACTAATTGAATTCTTCATAAGAATTTTATAAAAAAATTTTAAAATAATTGAATTCCTTACAAGAATTTTATTATTTATAAAAATAATTGTATTCCTTACAAGAATTTTATTATTTATAAAAATAATTGAATTGTTGCGAAGAATAAATGCTATTAAAGGTTTTGACAAAAATTGAATTCTTTCAAAAAATTTCTTTAATTTATTGAAGTTTTTTTAAAAATTATATTGAAAATAATTGAATTTCTGAGATAAATTTTATTAATTTAAAAAAAGTAGTTAATTTAATTTTTGCGATGAATTTTACTACTTATGAAAAATTGAATTATTTCGAAGAATTTATTAAATCTTTAGAAAATATTTGAATTTATTCGAAAAATATTAAATTTTCAAAAAAAATTGAATTCTTTTATGAAATTTTATTAAAATTGTATAAAAAATAATTGAATTTTTGCAAGGAATTCTACTATTTGTAAAAATAATTAAATTGTCTTTAAATTCAAGGTTTTTTTAAGATTTTCAAAAATATTTCGTTTACAATAAATTTTTCTAAAAATTAAAAAAAATATACATAATTTATTAAATTAAGAATCTGAATGAAATTTTTTTTTTTTTTGCAAAATAATGAATTTATAAGGTCACGGTCGTTTCGCTAGAAAGTCTCAATATTTTATATATTATTTTTCTTTTTTATATTTATTTTATATTATATTTTATTTTACGATTATTTATAAATTTCCTAAATACAAATTAAATTGACGCAATCAAAAATATTAAACAGAATCGAAATATTGCAAAATTAGGAACATAATGTCAGTATTTTTAAATGAACAGTATTTCCTTTTCCATAATAAATTAATAATACAACACTTTTTAATTTACTATTTTATTTAAGTAAACTATTTAAAGAAGTAAAATTAGGACAAACCCACTGTAAAATTATTTTTTTAATTCAGAAAACAAAATATTTCTATCTCTGCTATATTATTTACCTTTAATAAAATGAGTCAAAAAAAATTTTAATTAAATTTTTCAAATGAAAATAACTCTTTTATATTCCAAAGAAAATTGCCAGTTTTTAGGTTATGTGTTAATAAAATATGACAAAAACTTTGTTTTTATTATAAAAAGAAAATAAAAAATCCATATTTCCACTGATAATTTTAAGAAATTGGAGTAATACATTCATTCCGATTACTTCATAAACTTTAATAATAACAATTGCGAAACTTATCGACTTGTGAAAACAATGTGTTCAATATTATACGATTTATATTTTAGTAACAATAAAGAATATTTTTAATTGTAAAAAAAACACCTTCAGAAATAAAAGTGACTGTTAAAGTACAGTAAGGAATTTAAAGGAGAAATCTACATTTATTAAAAGCGTCAAAAAAATGTGCCTCTACTGATGAAACTTAAAAAAATGAGAATGTAATAAATACCTTATTTGGTTTACGTCCATATTTTTCCATAAAATTACTCTCCCATTGTTTCACTCGAATTTTACTTTTAAGATAAGTCCGTTTAACTTTTGGATCATCAAAAAGCTCCATAATTTATGAGATTGCAGAAGTCAAAAAGATTATTTGTCACAACAAGCTCGTCACAAATTTTTCATTATATCGAATGTTTTTTGATTTTTTTGAAATTTAAACTTCCTTCAAATTATTTGAATACGTCACATTAGTTAATTGGAAATAATTAAAAATTTCTAATATTGTATAATATTAGAAATGGATGATGTTATTATGAAAAATGCATCTGACAAGAAATTACTTTCCTTATGCCCGTTAAAAGACTAGAGTGTCAACCGAAGTCGCTGAGATCGCATCGTCTGCTAGGTTAAAGTCCCGCCTAAAAGTGACATTCCGTTCTGCGCATGTCCGAGTTTTCCGATTTTTCAGAAACAATAATTTTACTCATCTCGTGGTTATTGAAAATTTTTGCTACAGTCCGATCAAAGATATTTAACTTATTTTTGTTTATTTACTACTAAAGAAATTCTCTCCTTTGAAAATTGAGTGTTTTTAGTAGTTCTTCCAGCTTCCGTCTGGCGGGAAAATTCAAAATAGTTAACATGTGATTGAGGGGAAAAATTATTAGTTTAAAATAAGAACTTCAGCACACTACTAGTACTTATAGATAAGATACTTGTAGAGTATTTGAAAAGAAGAATATAAAATTGTCAGGAGAAAAAAAGAGAGGAAAATAAAAGTGTTTAGTATGCGAGTAAATGCTGTGTTAGTTCGTCTCTCTCTCGAGGTTTAGTCGCTAGAGCGAGAAGTAGAAAAGTTATAAATTGAAGAGTTTAAAAAACCCGCACCAGGATATAAAACCGGTTTTGTGTATAGAACTTCCGGTCGATATTTTCTCCCCACTCCGCGCACTCCTTTTGATGAGCGGCTACCGCCAACTGGTGGCGACTGACGGAACAAGAAGTACAGTGGCAGACAAGATGGCTGGACAGTGATGACTTAGTGGTGGAATGTCCGGCTGTGAAAATTGTGATTTTAGTGCATCGCGAATGGCTTAGCGATGGCCGAGCTCAACGACATCGACGTCGACAAGCTTCCAGAGGACGTGAGGGAGAAACTTACGGAATTAGCCCTTGAACTTTTCGAAGGTTAGTCAAAAAATATTCAATCGCGAGTATATTCACCTCCTTTCTGACTCACCCCGTTTGAACGAATCCTGTCACGGGCAGTTGATATAATCGATAATTTCTCACTGTTGCCGTTTTTATAATTCGCGCGAATTGACGCCGGCACGCTTTCGCGTGGGCGACAATTATTGTCAATTGTAAATTTTCTTTTGTCACTGTCACAGGGAGAACAATACCGATTTTCTCAATTCTCTTTTAACAGGTCCTCTCTGTGACCGCGCCTCTATGGTTCTTGTCACCAATTCCAAAGTGTTCCGAATACTTGTTCGTGATTTCTCTCACCATTCTTCACTTTGAAATACTTGGCAATATTAGTGAAAATTCCATTTCCCGATAGCGAGAAAAATCTAGCTGGGAAATAGAGTACAAGACCCGAAGTCCTTTGTTGTCAGTCGATTGTTCCTTTCTTATTTTTTTTCTCTTACTTTTCAACATCCACCTGCTGTCATTCTTGAATAAACGTGTACCACCTGCCTACTTTGATCGTTTCAACATTTATTTGCGAAAGTGACGCGCTTTTTGCAGTATTGATTTTGAGGTTATGAAAGGATTAGACAAATGTCGTGATTGCAGATATTCTCTACCCCTATATTTTATCCCTATTCCGTCTCTCACGCCGTAATCGAGTTTACATCTATATATACACAGTGTGACGACGAGTGCCTTTGGAAGTGTTGATCGTTTTCACGTTCAACGTCAAGTTAAATATCCGGGGATTTAAATGCACTATTTTGTGCGTTGACAGAACTAGGTTGGCAGGTGGCTGAGTAAAAATAATCGACTCAGACGGTCCAAGACGGTCACTGCCTCAATTTGTCGTGGGAGGGAAGGAATGCAACTTTATTCTCTTTCTCTCTTAAAGAATTAATCTCGTTTTATAAATTATTTCAAATCTCATTATTTACTTTATTTGGTTTCATTTAAATATTTCTCTTTTTATATATACACAGTGAAAAAAAAATTATTCGATTTGTTTACAAAGTCAATAAACGTTAACTTATCAGATTCCGTTTGACATTTCGAAACGAGGAGACTCAAGACTGATGTAATATAAATTGGAATAGATTCGGGAATGCACAACGAAAACAATTTTGTGATTTATTTAGATTAATAAAACAGATGTTTACATCACCCAGGTTTTTTTTCTTTTTAATCAAAAAAATCTTTTCTTTCTTAATTTAATAATATGTGCAAATTAACGTAAATAATTTTATTTAATATTATTATTGTTCCATAGGAATTAAGATCAAAAATTTCAAATTCAAACTTTTTTGAAATTAAACAACTTATAAAAAATTGTTATAAAACATGACCGAGTGATAAAATTTTAATTCAATTATTATTTTCTGCAATTAATTTTTTTTTAAATAATTGATTTCCTTAAAAAAACATTTATTATTTATGACGACGAGCAATAATATGTATATAGAGAAATGACACTTGACTGCAAGTACAGGTCGAGGCATTAATTATTGCCATGGATGTCACTGGAGCAATTACTTAATGCGGCATCTTTAAATGTCGTCATTTAGTAAAACCAATTTTGTCGCGCCATTTACATCACATGAGAGAAATTATCTTTCCTTTATCGAAACTATTCGACTATAACAATAAAAGATAAAAGAGTCCACACCCTCGGCAAACTAAATAATGGACAAGTTTTCGTAATAGGACAACTTGAAATACATACAATGCACTACTTTTTTCTATACACACGGACTGAATAACAAAAGATTAATAATGTACCGAAAAAAATGTTTTCTTTAGTTACTCGACTAAATTCAAATATAAATATTAAATCAATCATTAACATCTGAGTCATGGAAGGAAAGTTTTAATCTTGACAATTTGACATTTCAATTTACATAAATGATGGTTTATTTTTTCAATATAGTTATTGCTCAGTTAACAATTTACTAATTTAAATTATTTATTTGGTATTGTTTTTATTTTATTAACAGGCTCTAATTCTAATAAAAAAACTTTCAAAAATTTTTTCTATTTCTGACAAGAATGATTTTTTTAATATTATTTAATTATTACAAAAGTTTTAATGTAATTATCTTAATAAATAACAAAATTCTTCACAGAAATTCAATAATTTTTAGGAATTTTGATAAAATTCTTTACAAAATTCAATTATTTTCATAAGTTACAATATTCTTTCCAAGAATTCAATTATTTTCAAAAGTAATAAAATTCTTCGAAGAAATTCAATTATTTTTAAAAATTTAAATAAAATTCTCTGCAACATTTCAATTATTTTTAAAAGTTTTTCGCAATTCAATGTTTTTAAATATTTACTATCTTCGTAACATTTATCAACAAATTTAATTATAAAAAACTTGTTGATACAATTCTACGAAACGATTCAATTATTTTCATGAATAATAAAGTTTCATTTACGAATTCAATTATTTTCATCGCAGAATTGCAAATATTTTTAATACAATTTTAAATAAATTCCTTGAAAAATGCAATTACTTATTAATAAAAATTTTATTAAAACTTGAGGAAAGAATTCAATTTTAAGAAACATTCAATTATTCAATAAAACAAGAAAATTCGTTGCAATAATTCAAATATTTTAAAAAGTAACACTTAATTCGTCGGAGAAAATCAATAATTTTCAAGAATTTTTAAGTAATTTTACAAACGAATTCAATTAGCTTGATAAACAATAAAATCAGGAGGTTAAAGTTTTGAACGTTCAAATGAACGAAATTTATTTATTTCTTCTTCAAATTAAATTTTTATTACTATAATTTTGCGTCACTATTAAGCAAATTAATTATATAATGTTTCTAAATGTAAAATTTGAGTTTTTAATTTTAATTGTAATCAATAATCTATGAAAATATTTTTAACAAAAAATATTTCGTTCATTTGAACGTTCAAAACTTTTTGTTCATATAAAATCGCATAAATTTTTCCAATAAAAACAATTATTCTAAGGAATTTTAATAAAATTCTTTTCCAAAATTCAATTATTTTGATAAATATCAATATTCAGCAGAAGAATTCAATTCTTTTGAAATGTAATAAAATACTTTGCAAAAAATAGATTATTTTCAAAATTCTAAAAAAATTCTCGTCAAGAATTAAATCATCTTTATAAATATATAGGGAAATTCTTCTCAAGAATTCAATTATTTTCAAAAATTTCAATGAAATTCTTATCAGAAATTCAATTATTTTTAAGAATTTTAAGAAATTCCATATAAAGAATTCAATTTTTTAAAAAAATAACATCATTTTTTTTAAAGAAATTCAATTATTTTTGAAAATTTTAATAAAATTTGTTGCAAGAATTCAATTATTTTCTGAAAATTCTAATAAAGAATTCAATTATTTTAAAAAATAACAAAAAACGACAAAAATAACAAAATTTTTTACAGAAATTTAATTATTTTTAAAAATTTTAATAAAATTCTTTGCAAGAATTCAATTATTTTAAAAAATTTTTTAATAAAATTCTTATGAAGAATTCAATTATTTTCAGAAATAACAACATTTTTTACAGAAACTCAATTATTTTCAGAAATATCAACATTTTTTTTACAGAAATTCAATATTTATTTTTGAAAATCTTAATAAAATTCGTTTGCAAAAGTTCAATTACTTTTTGAAAATTTTAATAAAATTCTTATAAAGAATTCAATTATTTTTATAAATAATAAAATCCTTTATAGAAATTCAATTTTTTTTAAAAATAACAAAATTTTTTACAGAAATTCAATTATTTTTAAAAATAAAATTCTTTACATAAATTTAATTATTTTAAAATTTTTTAATAAAATTCGTTACAAGAATTCAATTATTTTTAAAAATATCAAATAAAGTTAAATTTTTGTGGCAACCCTGTATAAAAATTATATTTTTATCTTTATTTAACAAATTTTTATGGTCCCCTAAAAGTCCCCTATTTTTTAATTTTCAGTCCGCTATTTCCCCTAAAATTTTAGGGGCACTGTGAAGCCTGTATTAATAATGGATTATTTTCCCTTTTTTCGGTATTTGTAATGTGATTTCAAGTAAATAGTTAAAGTATTTTGGAATTGAAATTAATGTTCTTTTTAAATCTTTTTTATGAAACAAAATAATCATTATTTATTGGAATAAAAAGGTGGACCATATATTTTCCTTGAATT